TGGCGATTAATCAACAACAGCCATCTCCAAGGATGTCGAGTCATGCAGGACAGAAATCCCTTAGTTTAACGGGTTCACAACCTGATGCTACACACTCGGGTACAACAACACCAGGTGGTAGTTCAAGCCAGGGAACAGAAGCTACAAACCAACTGCTTGGCAAAAGAAAGATACAGGATCTGGTTTCACAGGTATTTGTCCTATTCATCTTTTTTTTTAATATGTTCTTTCTTCATCATCCTTTCTATATGAAAATTTGTCTCATGATGTATCCTGATGTTCAGGTGGATGTACATGGTAAATTGGATCCTGATGTTGAAGACCTCCTTTTGGAGGTAGCAGATGACTTCATTGATTCGGTTAGAAGCTAATGTCAATTATTTAGTATTGAACTTTTTTTTTGATTTTCACTTTCCGTATTTGTGGAAATCTATCTCTATCTTACCTATACTTGATTGCAGGTGACTTCTTTTGCATGCAGCTTGGCTAAGCATCGTAAATCATCCGTATTGGAGCCAAAGGATATATTACTCCACCTAGGTTTGTACAGCTAGAGCTCTGTTTCATGTGGATTATATAGGTAGTTGCTATTGGTACTCATTTTGGTGTTTGCTGGGTTATATAATTCATGCAGAGAAAAACTTGCACTTGACCATTCCTGGATTCTCAAGCGAGGATAAACACCAAACAAAACCCGTGAGTTATTTGCACTTTTCAACTCTCCAAAACATAGTATATGAATGTGCATTACTAATTGAATGTTCAAAACATAAAATACAATAAATACATGTGTCTTCCCGATATTGATCTGAAAGCTACAACTTGCAGGTACCAACTGATCTGCACAAGAAGCGACTTGCAATGGTAAGCTAAATTATATCCATTACCTCTCTTTGTGTACAGTCTACTTAATCAACCTCTCAAGTTTCTCCTTTTGTTTTGGGTCACCAGGTGCGTGCTTTACTAGAATCCTCAAAACCGGAGACAAATGCAACCAATTCCAAGGAAACTATTAGACAAGTGATGGTGAACCCAAATGGTCCAAATCATCTCTTAAGACCATCACCAAGTTCAGAGCAACTGGTTGCGCAAACATCCGGTTCTCACATGTTGCAACATATGACACGCTATTAAAGGGTTTGAATCTAAAAAGCCTGAGCCAGCTCTCATTACTATGTTCATCTTCTTGGTAAGCTATTTATTATAACAACCAGAAGTGA